TCTTTGTCTTCCATGGATATGCTTGGGAGGGTTTTTAGTTTTTAGGCTGCGGCTTTTGGTTTTCTAAAGTGGGGTCCTATTTGGATAAGTATTGTTTGGTAAGAAACACAGATTTTTTCATAAAACTTCTTTTAGTACTTTCCCATAACAGCTGAACCCAAAGCTTCAACGGCCTTTCCAAACGGACCATGAGTTAGGAGGTGGAGGAGAGGTGGAGCGTATAGGGCCAGATATATATATTGGCCTGAGATGAGAGAAGGCGACGTGGATGCAGACGTAGTTGCTAGGAAAACGGAAATTCTGTCGTCGACTCAATGCTGGAGCTGGACCCCTCATATGCGTTTTCAGCGAATCTCTAACGAGTGATTGTCTTGTATTTGATGACAGCAAGAGGTGAAGCCTGCCGCTGCCACCCACCTCCTGCTTGTTTTTATGCAATGGTCGACGCTTCCTTCGTCAAGGTAATTAAATCTATTTTCAGAATTGAAATTCTCTGCAATTAAATGGGATTTGGGGTTCAAATTTATTTATTTATTTTTGTTTTATATTTTTTAGGAAGTTATCTAACACCTCCCTCACATTATTGACAATATTTAAAGACTTTCCCTGACTTTTTTTTTTTTTCTTTTTGATAGGGGTTTAAAGATTTAAGGGGGCATTTTTTTTCTGGGTTTTGAGAGGAGAGAAAGTTGGTCAATGGGATTTTGATTCCCATTGACTAAGAATCCCATGTTTGTTTTTTTTGTTTTTTTTTTTCAGATTTATGTGAGGATCAGAGAAAGTTTATTTTCCTGGGTATGATACCCATCTCCTAGATGGATAAATAACTTTTCCACCTGGGGGAAAATTGCCAACATTTGAATGGGAAACAAATGTCCATTTTAATAATGGATTTTTATGGCTAAAATGGTCATTACCTTATTTACATGGGAAATAAAAAAACATGGGTAAATGCACTTATCCAGATAAGTCTTTCCTAGGAAACACTTACCGAGTAAGTACATTTACCTAGGTGAGTAACTTACCAAAAAACGAACGGGGCCTAAGATCGTACCTCTTCCCATGAAATCCCATCAAATATCCCCTAAAAAAAATAGAGATTTTTGGATTGCAATTCCCGTTCTTCTAAATCGCATCATGCCCATGAATTTAGCACCAATCCATGGATAGGATTCAGTCCACCCCTAATCTACTAGTAGCTCCACCTAGGGGTGGACTGAACAGTAAAAACCCCAAAAAAATATGAGGGTGTCTCTTTGAAGTGACTAATTGTCGAGTATGAGACATATCAATGTCAAAGTGTTGGTGCATTATATGCACAGTCATGATCAACATTTAGATATTAGGGTTAATTTTTGAGGTTCAGCTTAGTGTCAGAATTCTTAGCCCTCTGTAAGATCATGCGGGTATTTGATATTTTGAATTATTATAAATATATAGTAAAATTTAGAATTCTATAGTTCATTTTTTCCTTAATTTTTTCGAAAACGTACGGATAAGTTCAATGCAGATTTCTGAAATTGCATACCCTTATGCAATTTCAAACCCTATGTAATAGGATTGGGTTGGTTCAATTCTGTTGGGTCAACTTGGATAGTTGTCAGGCCTATTTATGTATAAGTGGATGTTGGAAGGTCTAAAATTTTGTTCTCTTATTTTACATGTGGATGTGGCCAAATGGATTATTTACCAGAAGGATGAGTTCTTTCCTCTTTTATGAAGGTCTATTTGAGTTCTTCAGGCTGTGTTTAGGTGCAATGCAAATAAATTTTCACTGATGCAAAACTATGACAGTGCAAATGATTTGAGTGTAAATTCTGACCTTTTTTTTTTAATTTTAGCTTATTTTATTTAATTGTAGTATAAATGAAGTAAATTAAGACATGAACAGAATAAAATAAAAGTAAACAAGAATTTGCACTTTTTACATTTACACTCCCATGCATTTGTATTAGTACAAATAAGTTTACCCCGCAACCAAACACAGCCAGGACAAAATGAAAAAAAAACATAAAGATTTTTTCCTTTCCAGGTTTATTTTTGATCTTTCAGCTTAGTTTGGAAGAAGTACAAATACAAATATGTAAAGTGTAAAAGGTTATATTTTGTATGTATTTGTACTTGTACTCCTTCCAAACTGAACTTTCAAATCAAATTCAAATTTATCAAATATTAATAAAACCCAAATTCAAATTGAAAAATATAATTCGAATCAGACTTAAATTCAAATTTAAATATAGGAATATTTTAATTAAACTGAGTTGAAACATGCTAAAATTCAGCCCGATTCAGTTTCCAATCCACCCCTACTTCTTTTATAAATTATTGCTGTACATCTTGTTTGTTACATAAATGCCAGCCAACGTGAAAGTTGGAAGGACGCTTGCATAGATTTGGTGAGTCTGTTAACTTAAGAAGCCATTTTTATCGGAAATTTTCTAGTGATAAATAAAAAATTGTATTTAGTGTGAGGGATATAAAATGTCAATAAAATGATTTTGTCCGAGCTTTAGCTTGGATCTCCAACCCACACTTACCTATGGTACATTATTTACATATTATTCATGGGAGAAATTCTAAATGTACAGCTGTGATGTACTGTGGATAGGAGATCCGGATTCTGGCCTACCTCCATCAATTGCTACTTGGAACTCAAGGATATTTACCCACGTGGCAAAGTGGACAGTTCAGCTGCTTCTTTCGCTGCACTATCTGTTATAGACAGGAGATGACAGCTCTCATGGGTTCAGAGAATCCCATGTAAACCAAGTGACGTGTTGTCCATGTTTCTTTACACATTAACCACCGTCACTCTTGTCCAGAAGTTACATGGATTGGTGTATAGAGTTCACACCCCATAGCACATCCCTCCCGTATATTGGGAACATCTCCCCATGATAATACCAGATCGGGAGATGTTCCCAGTACACGATGGAGATGTGCTGTAGAACGTTGTGGGGCAAAGATGTGATCTCAGGTGTGTAGGTGGGGTTGCCATTGCCCTCTACTCCAGTTCCAACGGTCCAACCAAATAAACCGGGTTTGCAAATTGCAACCTTGGGCTTCCGCGGGTACTGTGTTCTTAATTTCTTTACAAGGTAGTGATTTCAGTCCGGTCTGGTCTAATAAGTTGGATTTTGGGTTTGGTTTATATGACAGTTTGGTTCATACTCCAATCTACTGTTTGTATTTTTTTTTTAAATTATAATTAATAGTAAACAAAGTCAATTAAACGGGCCAAGAGCCTAACCTACGACTTTCTACTTACGAAACAACAGACGCTCAGGCGCTAATGTTGATACTAAATGCAATCTATATTTCTTTCTCTTTAGTTAATGGTTATTCGATACTGCAAACAATAACTATTTTTCTTTTCAAAAAATTTCATGCAATACATTTCATAAATATGGGTCTAACCCATCCGAACTGTTCGTTCGAATTTAAATTCGAATTCGCTTTGGTTAATGGTGAACCAAATCCATCCATCTTATAATTGGAGTATGAATCCACCCTACCCAATCCTATCTGATGAGAGAGAAAGAGAGAATAAAATGTGGGAGAGAGAAAAATAAATGGATTAGGTGGCTTGTACAGTAGTCTGGACTCTGGACGTGAAGTCAAGACAAATATTGACATTATATAGTCAAGAAATTATTATATGCTAAAAAAAGTATTATATTTATTAGAAAAGTTAGTTTGAATATTGCGATTTTAATAGAGAATTACAAGTTCAAGTTTAAAACATGTTATTTTTAGTATGTTTTATTTATAATATATAATAATTTGATCTTTCCCAATTTATTCTATTAATTTTATTCACTATGTGATTGCAATCAGAATTTGATACTAATCCAATATAAATCCCAGGGATAATATTTGATTCAAATCCGAATACAGAGACGAATTAATTTTGTTCACTATCTTTTTGTTTATTCGTAACGCAGGAAAATATGATTTTTTTGCCACGTGGCTTTCAAAAATTAGTTAAAGAGCTAGCAGTAGAGAGAAAGCATTGGCGTAATAAGTAGAGAAATTTTGGAATCAGGCACACACCTGAAGAATCAATCATATATGAGCCACATTTCTAGGCAATCATCAAAAGCAACCTTCCCCCATCTGAAATGGAAACTCCCTGGTTCCTTCATCCTACTCCCTCCACACGATATAATGCCGACGGAGGAACCCAAAAAAGTAGCCGTTACAATACGCTTCGAACAATTGCACCATAGACAGAAACCACGCTGCAAATGGAAAGGAAGACATAAATGCACAAAAAGAGTCCAGGGATATGCATATCTTCAAGACTTCAACTCATGTGTGTGTGTCGGGTGAAGCGCAGTCCAAGTCCGTACTTCTGCATGTCAATTTTATTAATTAAATATTGGTTGGGACCGGGTCGACCCGACCCGGGGTAGCGGTACTCATGTGGGGGTATTTTGGTCAATGCATCAATGGAAAAGGATAACACAGTAGTAACACATGGAGGACAACGTAAATGAAATCGCCTGGTGGTATCTTGTCGTTTTTCGGAAGTGCAGACCCACGTCGCTAGTTTCCTGCTGCTTCGCTAGGCACCCTCCACCTAACATATTCGGATCCAACGGTTTTGAAAATTTATCGAGGTCGAGGACGAGAACAATGCAAGAACACAGTGCTAGGTACGAAACATGGAAAACAGTCATTAATAATCCTCCTCCATTCCAAACATAACGGAAAGTTCCGCATGGCGTGGCGGCGTGGGGCATTGGATGATTTGATGATTCCATATAAACCATATAAACAACAATCAGCAATCAACCCGGGACGGGAGGAATCGAAATTCGAAAGTTTTCCAACAGGTTGGCCCCACTTAGACTAGAAGGGAAAATCAAACAAAACCGTCCAAAGTCACGTGACAGGGCTGGATGACACATCGAGATCGAGTCATCTTATCGTTGCGTGTTAACAACTTTCTGATGGGAACCTTCGCTTTTCGGTTTCCCGGTAATCTCCATGATTAAAATAATATTATTCTTGTGTTTCAGAAGACTAATCTCGGAAATCCGAGTCACGAGCTATCGACCAGTGACCACTGACCTCCGTCCGTCCCGGCGTAAAGGTACTGAACTACTGATTTTTTCTTCGGTCTTTTTTGTATAGACATGGATAGATAGAATAGGGATGGATGAATATGGATGGAGAGTGTGGGCAATGGAAGTCAAAACGAGATTCGTCGAAATTACTGAATTAGCCACAACGTCTTCAGTAAAACGATCCGACATTCGTGGCATTTACGTCATTGTAACGGGTTTAGAGAAATGGTCAAACACAAACTCACACACTCGAAGCCAGTAGAAGAAGCTGAGAGCAAGCTCAGATGATGGGTGTTTGTTTGTATTGTGGGGAAGTAGAGAGCTTTTTTGCAGATAATCGGAGTGAAAACTGAAAAGACTCGAAACCAACAAAGATTAGCAGAGAACAGAGAGTCTGAAAGAGAAGTCATTCCAGATCCAGTCAGAACTTCTTTCTTCTTCTTCTTCTTCACGACGTTCCAAGTTAGTTACGGTCGTGGTTTTATGTTGATTGATTTTCTGGTTTCGGTTCCACCATGCCATCACGCCCGACACCACCGCCGCCGTTGATCTTTCCGGTGGAAGCATACCCACCTCAGACTATTCCCATCACTGAACCACCTAACCACCGCCCCCGCAACCGCCCGACCAATTCTCATCTCATTACTCTCATCGCCGGTGGGGTCATTGCTTTTTCCCTATTCGTCTTCTTCGCTGTGCTCTACCGGAAGCTCTCCCGGAAGAGGACGGCCCCGTCCGATTTGAAGCCCCCACACCGCTTCTCCTACTCCGTCCTCCGCCATGCCACGGCATCATTCTCTCCAGATAACCGCCTGGGCCAAGGCGGTTTTGGCTCCGTATACCGGGGCTCCCTCCCCTCCGGTCTAGAAATCGCCGTCAAGCTCATGGATTCCGGCTCCCTACAGGGTGAACGTGAGTTCCAGAACGAGCTCGCCCTCGCTGGGAAGATCGTCTGCGATCGAGTGGTGGCGCTTCTTGGCTTCTCCTGCGACCGCAAGCGTCGGCGGATGCTACTCGTGTATGAGTTGATGCACAACCGGAGCTTGCAGGATGCGTTGCTCGACCGCAAATGCCCGGAGCTGATGGACTGGAGCAAACGGTTCTCTATTGCGTTCGACATTGCTAAAGGACTCGAGTTCCTTCACACTGTATGCGATCCGCCTGTAATTCACGGCGATATCAAGCCCAGTAACATTCTCTTGGATTGCTATTTCTCAGCGAAGATTGCAGATTTTGGGCTCGCTCGGTTGAAGACTGACGATGCTTGCGAAGCCTCGCTGGATGTAGCCGACTGTCCTGCAGCCAAGATGACTAATGATTTCAAGGGGAAGAAGAAAGAGGGATCGGAGATTAGCGGTGGAGGTGCCGGTGGAGGGGAGGACAATGGATCTGTACTTGGAGAGACGGAGAGCGTGGCGACGGGTTACGAAGAGGCGCATATTGGTGTGGATCAGTCGCCGGAGAGTTACTTGAGGGTTCCGGATATTGAGGCATCACCGGAAGCAGTTATCGCGGAGCCGTCGCCATCAGAAATGTTGGACAAGACGAGTGTGTCGGAGGGGTATTTCGATAAACTCAGCGTGGACAGTGGGAAAGACTACGTTGGTGGTGGAAATCGGAAGGGTGCAAGGAAAAATAGCATTACTGGAAACCGGAAGGACTGGTGGTGGCGTCAGGATAATGGGGGAGTAGGTTCCGAGTCTGGGGAGGTGAAGGACTATGTGATGGAGTGGATTGGGACTGAGATAAAGAAGGAGAGGCCCAAGAGTGACTGGATTGCGGCCTCGGCTTCTGTTGAAAATGGTAGGCCTAGTGGGAAATCGGAGCGGAAGAAACTGCAGAGGCGTTTAGAGTGGTGGACGTCGTTGGATGAGGAGAAGATTCAGAAGAAGTGCAGACCGCCAAGGGAGTGGTGGCGGGAGGAGTTCTGCGAGGAGCTTACTCGGAAGAAGAAGAAAAGAGGAGTCAAGAACTGCGCTGTTGGTGGAGGAGAGCATTGGTGGCAAAGGGACGATGATATTGGAGCGCAGAGAAAGAAGAAAAGCAGAAGAAGCAGTCGGAGCAGCGTTGATTGGTGGTTGGACGGGCTAAGTGGGGAGCTACGGAATGGTCGTCGCAACAGTCAGGATTGGGCAAGTGGAGAGATAGCCAAGAGTGGTGGTGTCAGCAGCACTCCTAGCATGAGGGGCACTGTCTGCTACGCTGCTCCTGAGTATGGTGGTGCTGGGAAGCTCTCGGAGAAGTGTGATGTCTATAGTTATGGAGTTGTGCTGTTGGTTCTGATATCTGGCCGGCGGCCCCTCCAGGTGACAGCTTCTCCCATGTCGGAGTTCGAGCGTGCAAACCTCATTTCGTGGGCTCGCCACCTTGCTCACACCGGCAAGCTGCTAGATCTTGTAGACCCATCTATTCAGTGTATGGATCGAGAGCAAGCACTCCTCTGTATCAATGTTGCAGTCCTCTGCCTACAAAGATCACCTTCCCGTCGACCCACGATGAAAGAAGTTGTGGGCATGCTTTCCGGTGAGTCTGAGCCTCCCCACTTTCCCTTCGAATTCTCCCCCTCGCCACCTTCCAATTTCCCATTCAAGTCTCGGAAGAAGCCTCGGTGAGTTTGAGTTAATTAATTAATTAATTAATGATCCAAGGCGGAAGGCTTTTCCACAGGATGTACTGTTTGTTGTTGGTAATCTCCATTCTATCATCTTTCATGGATGATACATATTCCATGGAGATATGTAGTCTCTGTCCTACAAATCCCAATTCAGTATAAAGCTTTCGATGAAATCATGATTAAGGCCTCAAAGGGATGAGAAAGAAAAATCCGATCAAAAGGCAGCAAGAGGCAAGAGTCCCCCAGTTCGCCTTCTTTTCTCCTACGATTTAATTTGTAGTGGGCCAGGGGACTTTTTCCTCTTTCCTGCACAACTTTTAAAACAGGGTGAGAATTGTCGCCCAAAATTTTCATTATCTTACAAGGAAATAAAAAAAAAAAACCTGAGTTGGTTTCCTTTTGCTTTGTGGACATACAAAATCTCTTGTAAACTGTTGATCATACTTGCTCAGAAAAGTGAGGAACATTTGTAAAGCTGGTTAATGCTGTCCTTCCTTTTTGAATATTCATTTACACTCTTGTAAAGGCTCCAAATTTCTAGAAAAGTAAGCTGCAATTATTTGTGTTAGACAAGTATCTGAATTCTGAAACATCCTTAATATGCTTACTTGCATCAGTCCACCAATTGGAAGACAAAAAGCACATGAAGGTGAAAATTCAACCCCTTTTATACACCCTTCTATATATTTATTACTTCCTGTGCTTAACCATCACCAGACTCTTAGGGGCTGTTTGATATGGCTTAAGTGGATGAACTTGATGATTTGTTCTTTGTCTTTTGGGAAAATTTCTTATCAGTACTCTGTATTTTGGTTCGAGTGTCAATTTGGTTTCTAAATTTTAAAATGTAATAGTTCAGTATTCGAATTTTCAAAATGTGATAATCCAGTATCTGAATTTTCAAAATGTGACAATTCAGTACTTGTTATTAACTAGTCCATTAATCAACCATTAAATGACATTTGAAAAGTAAAAAATTCCCTAAGAATGTCATGTAATTCTCTTTATCAACCATCCAAACATTGACAATAAAATAAACAGTCCCAAATTCTAGATTCTTTTAAACAGTCATCAACTTTTTTGAATAAAAGGCTAGGATTTGAGACTGTTCAATTTTTTGTCAACGTTTGGATGGGTTGATAAAGAGAATTAGATGGCATTTGAAGGGCAATTTCGACTTTTCAAATGCCATTTAATGGCTGATACTGGTTAACGATAAATACTGGATTATCACATTTTGAAAGTTCGAGTATTGGATTATCACATTTTAAAGTTTGGGGATCAAATTGTCACTCAAGCCAAATTACTGAGTATAAATTTTCCCTTGCCTTTTAGTGCAAAATCACATGTGTGATTTTGTGCAGGGACTTGTTTTGTGTTGTTACCAACTCTACAATGGTTGTATGATCTTTTACAACCATTGTAAAAGAATGTGATTCTAACATGTGTAATTACTACAGGTATTGAAAAAAGATGTTCAATTCTAGTCATGGAAAGCCTTATATAATAACTATAATTTGAGAAAATCTAATAACAAATTGCAGTGGTTTTCTCCTGTGTCAACAGTCAAAAGAAAAGCCTTGGATTTGCTGTTGTTCAAATTAGATGGACATGTGAACTATGTGATTTACGAAATTCGAAGGTTCATCAGTTAAAAGAAAAAAGAATAAAAATATTTGTAATCTGGTAACCCAAGGTTTTGAAGACGAATCAATTACAAATATTTATTTAATAAATGAAAGCTATACTAAATACATAGAATGTAATTTGGATTCCAATGAAATTCTCTTGATAAAAAATTTCATCATCAAACCCTTTGCTCGCGCTTGGTTTCCTTCATGCCATGTGTGCCTATACACCCCGTGGGTTCTTGCTTGGTTTCCTTCACACCACGCGTGCCTATGCACCACGTGGATTCCTGATTGGTCGATGTGTCTTAACAGTCCTTGGCTAAATTGCTGCATCTCTTTTATATTTTTTTGCCATTTTCTTTCACAAGGACGAAAATTTCCTATTTAGAAAATGGGTAAAATACAAAAACCTCTCCTAGAGTTTCTGACAATCATATTTTTTAAATACCCATTTTACCCTTTTATAAATTAGTTTATATACATTTTCACTAAAATAACCCATTGCACATAAGCTTTTTCTTCCTTCTGAAGTAAAATGTGAATTGTGTATAGATGATTAATGGAAGACTCGGCCCTTTCTCTGGTGGTGCTCAAAAGATCTAATACCCCTTTATCAGGGATGGGTGAAGATGAGGATGACGAAAACTCTAAGAAAGCCACAAGGATTGAAATAAAGAATTGTATCTGATCTGATTGGATTTCTTCCACCTGGGAATGCCAGAGCAATTAGAGTGGTTCTTGGGCCAATCATCAAAAAAATGGCAAAGGGGATGTTGTGGATGTTGTGGGCCAATCATCAACACCGTAGCTCGTCTTCCTCTTTGCCTCTGTATTTCTCCGGCCAAGTAATAACAAAAAATCATGGAACTTCCCAGAAAGTAAACCGGCGCAGGAGGGGCAGAAAGCGAAAAAAAAACAACAAAATTATAATTTGTTACAAAATAAAAACTTAAATCGCCAGAAATTGCCATCACCTCCTCGCACGGTAGCGTACTCCCCCAGCGCTCTAACGTCGGCACCGCTCCTCAGGAATTGCAGAAAGAAGAGCCTGAAGCTGGTGCCCGAAACAGTCCGATGTAACCGCCACCAGGTGGCCAAAGCGTTTGTTGCTGGGATCTCCAATGCTAAGCAGAACCTATGGAAGATGAAGAACCACGTGATCTCCCATGTGGGCTCTAAACGCCCCAAATAAAAGATGATGAGTTGGTGTATCAGCCCCGACACCACGAACGTCGCCAGTATGGCTGGTAGTGCGGCGAGGCTTCACGTACGGTCGTATACAGTGGAGCGCAGGAAATTGGATGCCATGATGTTCCGTCTTCCGTCTTCGTCCCCAGAAGTCCTGTAGCGAGGTGGAGAGGTAGGGATCGTCGAACTGTGCTTCCAGCTCCAGACCAAGCAGGGCACGAGCCAGTATGCAACAACGGCGAGAATGATTTTCAGGAGGAAGTAAATGTGGAGGCAATAAAGTGTCAGGATGACTTTGGGATGCTGCAGATACGAAGGTGGGGAGATTTTGTTCGGTGGTCTAAGGAGGAAAGGAGATGAACAGTTTTTTTTACCCTTTTTTTGATATATTTTAAAAAAAAATTACTTTATTTTAGAAATTATTTTAAAAAGGTTATTTTTCTCAAAAGTTGCGCTTATCGGATATAATCCCTTAAAAATTCTAGGAGAAGTTTTTGTATTTTAACCTTAGAAAACTAATAAGATCATACAAAAGCTCCCCTGATGCACAGACGTCTCATCAAATTGTCTGAACATTTAATATTTAATGAGACTTAAAAATATTTATAAGGAAACTCAGTCAGTGCAAAGTCAGTTCGAACAGCCATTATACCTTGCTTTGGAAATATTTGCCTCAGCCCTCAGGCCTTATCGTTAATTCGACCTATATATAATTGGGTTTGGGTCGAATCCAAAATTTGCCAACCTGATTTATTAAAAATCCCAACCCAGCCCAACCTACAATATTGGATTGAGGCTTGGGGCGATCGGGTTTGGGTTGGTCCGTGTCAGCCCTTAAAAAAAACAGTATTAAGGTTAAAGGAATTGGCTAATATCTGGGAGTTGGAGAAAACTTTGGTTGTTCACGTCGGACAGCTTCTGTTGTCCTGACGCTCTCTCAAAGTGACACGCTGGTCTATAATCCATGCTTTCAGTACTGTATGGAGTTCACACCGACACTGGAGGTGTTTTATTATATATGGGAACTAGTAGGAATGCAGGGGTTTTGTTAAGTTAGAATGAAATAATAGAAAAATCAAATCAAACACCTAATAAAATTAATATAATATAACAAAAAAATCATCAATAGCATGATTTATGGAGTTAAATTTGTTGTTGTTCACTAACATCAATAAAAATTAAAGTTAATTGAGCTTTAAAGATTAAAATGATATTAAACCATCCTGATTGTTTCTACTACAATCATTCTTAGAGCTAATTTTTTTATCTAATCTATAACTAATGTTTCTGTGGGCTTTAATTCATATTTTGTTCACAAAGCATCTGAGATACTCCAATTGTTATAATAAAAAGGAGATTCGAAGTTAAGAAGGATTAAATGCTGTGGTGAAAATGACATTGAAACATAAGCTTTTATTGGTATCAATCAAAGAATTATGACAACAAAATCTGAAATATATCATATTTTTAAGGAAATTACTGGTAATTTTTTGCTAACCTCTAATTAATGGTAATTTGTATGATAATTACTGGTTTTGTATTGTTGGGTACACGTTTTTTGGTAACTTAGGGTAATTTTCGTAATTGTTGGAATTTTTGGTAACTCATGTTAATTTATCTTAAGATAATTTATACTAATTTCTAGTAAATATTGGTAAATTTGTCTAAGGCTGTTTTTGGTTTGAAGGATGCCCCAATGCTTCTCGTTCCAGGTAGCTAAGCTTGAGCAGACTGAGTCAAGGTTCAAAAAATTGATACAGGGTGATACGCTGGTAGGGAATATCGGCCTGTATCAGTACCGTTTTTTTTTTTTTTTTAATTTCCGAATCTGGTTCAGAGGGGCTGGTCTAAGGCCAGTCTACCCCCTGAACCACTCTCTGATACGATACACATCAAGCCTATCAGCCAATACGGGCCAATACATGACGATGTTTTGAACTTTGGACTGAATTAATGAGCTTGTTGGCAGGAATTTGCATACTACATGTGATGATGGTTTCTTCAACGAGACGAATAAATTAGGCCTTCAACTTCTGTTTGCCAATGCATATGCAAAGTTTATTCACTAAAAATACGAGAAACAAAAAAGAACTTGCTTCATTTTTGCTATCCAAGGTAATGAATGGTGGTTCGGTGGTTTCACACATCAGCTCTAAGAAAAATAAATTTGTTACAATGACATTACATTAACCAATACAAAAAAGAATGTTATTGTTGTTCTGTTTTTTCTTTTTCTTTGGGGGATGGGGGTGGGGGATTTCCGCAGTATTAAGAGCTTGATTTCTGTACAGGTTACTCCCCATCCCTGGGCAAAATCAATCAATCCTGAGTTATTACAGGACGGACTATTACTTTACAAAACAGGTAATTCTTGCAGAAAATTAAAAACCTCAATCCATTTTGTCCGGGATATTAGGCATTGCATTACACCATAGAGACAATTCAGTAAGAGACCTAGCAGTCATTTATGCGATGGATGACAAAACCTCTTTTGAGATTTATACCAATCAGAGAGATATCGGGAGTATCTGCACAATAATAACTGTTAGATTCAACAACCACAGTGAATGAGCAACATTTCAACAGTGTCAACTGTCACTAACCGATCATCAGGATGCTCTATACTTGGTGGACCCTGTATGCTCCACGATGGGCCAGCCTGTCAGAGTGATTATAGATTATTTAGAACCTGGAAGCCATAACTGTCATAAACATGGTAATCAAGAGGACTAACAGACCTTGCCAAGGAGATTGAGGTTTAATCTCACCATTATGGGAACTACACAAAGTACAGATCTCTGAGACTGAAGACTCTGAACAAGTCAAAGTTGTTGAGGTAGTCTGACTGATGTCTGCCCTTCTATTAGGCAGGAACCATTTTATAAATTCATCAATTTCTGCATCCTTTGTATGTCCATGTGGAAACATACTTTCCGATCAAGGTTCAAAATATCAATATGTATTGGTTTTCAGGATCACCGAAATGCCAAATACTTCGATTTAGTTTCTTTTAATAGGTTTAAACATTAATATTCATCTTAATATATCTATGGTTGAATTGTCAAAGTGAAAAAAATAAAAAATAAACAAGAGTATTGATGGTTGAAAAGAGTATCAATACTTTGAACCATGTTTCTGACAAGAAATATCTGATAAGACTCCAGATATTATATCTAGGTTTTTCAGCTATGATATACCCAGATACAGCAACAGCACAAATGAATATGGCATTGGATACAAAATTTAGACTGAAAATTGAATAACATGGCACCTTTGTACAGGTATCCAGCTATCAATAGTTTGTCAGTCATCTTACAGCTCAGCTGGTTGCCATTCTTTACGCTGGCTGACCGGGCAAGGAATTTTGACATCAACATTCACTTTTCAATAAAGCAGAGTATGCAGATAATTTGTTTTACCATGTTTTGGCCACAGAAAGAACACAACTGGATCAGAAGAATTATGGTCTTTATGATACTTTAAATGGGAAAACTTGCAACAGTCAGGGGACCCAAAGTATTATACGCAATATAGTATAACGAATACACAGTAACACCCATATATGTCTTGAACATATTCACACTACAAGACAAAAAATGTATAATACTAACCCGAAGGTGAGATGCTTCACTGCTTCTGCCATGAATCTGAAGGTATTCTTCATATGTCTGTAACATTGAGAAAACTAAGAATAAGCTTATCACACATAGAGACCCTTTGATTGCATGGTAAGGAAACGCCTCATATCTGATCAATGAAATAGCTCATTTTTAACTTCATCATATAACAGCTACATGGTTAGTAAACTGGCCGTGTTTTGGTGAGATTTGTGTCCATATATCTGCTGATAGCACATGGGTTAAATGGAAAATCAATTGAAACACTATAAAATCTAACAGCTTCAGAACCCAACTAGGCAAATGGGCTGCACAATTGGGGGGCAGGTATCTCCAGACCCTGATGAAGGCAGGATTTGATTCCATGTCGCCACTATGCCCACCAGGAGTCTATACCAGCAACCAGCTGGCACCTTTAACCCCAACCACCCCGATTTGCACAACAATGAAGACTAACTAAAACCATAATTACTATGGACCATATAGGCAACAATTGTGTAGTCTGTTGTTGCAGATTCCCCTTGCAAAGCTGATATCCTTGTAGTAAAAGCTCTCAATTCCACTGTTGCAGAGTCCCCTTCCCCATTGAACCTGAATATATTAGCCAAGAAATTCCCAAAAGAGTTTCTTATAATCCCCCAATTCCTGATGGTCCTTGGTTTCCAATGCTACATCCATCAAAGTTAAGCTTCCATTGGTAAGCAGATGGTGGAGTTCATTCCTTTATGATGATTGATCTAGTGAGATAAGTTTCTGCCATTTGTTGCCAGCCCTTCAAAATGTCATCTTCTGAAATGAATAAAAATATTTCAGTTTTAACCCATTTTTCCACCTTCCACACTATAGTTTCAACAGTTTAAGAACAAAAGCCAACACTTGATGACATGCATTAACAAAAGCCATGTTCCATCTACATGTGCATTTTAAAAAGGAACTCTCTTTAAGAAGAGTTGTCAGCATGTCAAAACCTGTATGCAGTAAGGTTCTCTGCTTCTCTTTGGATTAAATTTATATGCTCCACCACCTTGTAAGGCTCTTAATTCCCAATGTCTGCATTAAAAATAGCATGCTCCAATTATTTGTGCATTTTCATAGGAACTCCTATCTTCCAGGAGGAGTATTAGCATGCCAAATCCTAGTTAAGGTTCCTTTGCAGTGGATTAAACCATATGTTATTCCACCTGTTGAAGCCCCATTTATTTCTTTTCTTGCAAGATCCTCAGGCATGAAAATTAGCATGTCAGCTAGAGAACCATATAAATCAATATGCACAGTACCTAGTGTCATCCATTCTTCACAGCTATACACCATTTTCATGTCTTGGTTGAAGTTGGCCCAGCAGAATGCTCAATTATGGTGTTCTTTCTGATCTCTATGCATTTTATCTGTTCTATTGAAAATGCCCACTGCCCCTATAGTAGTGGACACTGATGTCTATGATGGTCTGACTTGTATCCATCACAGAACATGAGAATTACTTCTTCATCTTGGTTCTCCATTCTATGTAGGGATATTTGAATTTTTTGCATGGTCTCATAGAAAGTACACTTAATCTTTCATCTATACAAAAACAGTTCACATTCCATGCCCACCTGGCGGAGCAAACGCAAATTATTCATCTACTGACCTATTTTGTTTTCTTTTTCCAATTTATTAGGTGATGCAGTAGAGCAGAAAAGATCCCCTATATGTCAATTATGGCAGTCAGGATACATTGCAAATGTCTTTCCAAGATCTAATGTGATTCAATAAGCCAAAATCATTTTCTCACATAATAACTACAATATTCTACCATTCCGGTTTCCAATATTCACCATTAAGATTACTACAGGTATTTGATTTATTTTGTTTAAGTTGGGCTGTTTTCTTTTCAGTAGCTTAACTATATGGTTTTAAGTTTCATAAAGTCTACACTTTTATTTTTCTTTCTCTAGTAGATAAGGTAAGAATTTAATTCAGAAAAAAACCATACTGAAATTACAAATACGCTATAAAAGGAACATAGATAGCTAGGTGGGAAGAGTAAATTAAGAGCATTTTGTATTAACAGATCCCAGCTGAGAACAAAATTAATGCATCTTTTAGGACCAAAGGCCACAGACATAGCAACAAGTTGAATATGATCTTTATCTGTACAGCCTTCAAAACTTGGGGCCCTGTCGTCAAAGATCTAGGAATTCCCTTAATTACAAAAATGCTCCAGCATGAAGTGACAGATAACATGTACCAGAATTCTCTGTTTACTTTTTTTGTTTCAAAAAAGATAAAGGAAATTTGTTAGAGATAAAAAATGCTAAAAGAAGGGCAGGTTCAGCCAACTGAACCCAGCCTCAACAAAGTCCACTACAATTCAGATACAGCACAGGTTTACAGAATGTAAATAACCAAAGATTGGCTGTTGAGCAAGGTCTCCTGTAGCTGAAGCCCGGGAGCTCAATCTCCCAATAGCGGATCTGATTGGCTATTCAATCTGGTGATACTTGCCTTGGAAACTTTTCCAGTCTATGCAAAATTATTTAAAGAAAATTTTCCACAATGAATAAATGAAGTTACAGTGCGAGAAAAGGCAATAGATCACCAACTCTGCATTAGCTTTATGCAGAGTGAAGCATTATCAAGTATTATATGATTTTATCCAAATATGCTATCTACAACAAGAAAGCTACCTTAATTAGGACAAGGATTTCTAAGTGGTTGGGTGGGTGAGTGCCCCTTAAGGCCTCAGGTCCATTAAAAAAGTAAAAAGAGGATAATTACAGCATTCCTTCTACTCATCTGGGCTTTCACTTGAGGCCTCCAAGCTACTTGATCATAGCAATCATGTACAACTACCCCTTGTTGCCTTGTATGTTACCTAGGTAAGGCAGGCATTTTGTACATAGAGGTCAAGTAAGAAACCTAGTCCAGGTTCCCCTATTTAAGTGACAGAGTAACATAGCAACCGTCACATATAGCACGAGAAGGTTGCTTCATACTGTTGAAGACTCACATATGTTCTGTTATCACTACATGATTTTTGTATTCATTTTTCAGCCAATCACAATAAAGAACACAAATTAGTTGATTGATCTAGCTGCCGCCAGTTCTCTATTTATATTAACTTAATAAAAAGAATAGAAATTACAAGTATGCCCCTGGCGGCACAACCTAGAACCAAACTAATAAGAAAAAAAAAAAAAAAACAAGTACCTAACTAACAGTATCTTAAGAAGTCAGCCTACTAACAGCAACTATAAAGTAGCAATTAAATAAGCCTTACAACACTCCCCCTCAAGTTGGGCTAAATATGTCTATTATGCCTAGCTTGTCACATAACTCATTGTGCCGCGAGTATAGAAGCCCCTTTGTGAGGACATCAACAAGTTGTTCCTTGGAGTTGACATTGAGGGATGCAAATTTCCCTTTTTTCCAAATTTTCCCTTATGAAGTGTTTGTCCACCTCAATGTGCTTGGTCCTCTCATGTAGGACAAGGTTGCTGGCGATGTTTATTGCAGCCTTGTTGTCACAGTAAAGAGACATAGGACTATGAA